TCTCTGTGTCTCTGTGTCTCTGTGTCTCTGTGTCTCTGTGTCTCTGTCTGCCCCACCGAACTTATCTCCACTTATCTCGACTCCATTTTCTCCCCCCTGGTCCAGGAACTCCCCACCTACATCTGTGACACCACCCACACCCTCCACCTCCTCCAAAACCTCCGATTCCCTGGCCGTCAACACCTCATCTTCACCATGCACGCCCAGTCCCTATATACTTGCATTCCCCATGCAGATGGCCTAAAAGCCCTCCGCTTCTTCCTCTCCCACAGACCCGACCAGTTCCCCCTCCACCGACACCCTTATCCGCCTAACCGAACTCGTCTTTACCCTTAACGACTTCTTCAACTCCTCCCAGTTCCTACTAGGGGGTGGCCATGGGTACCTGCATGGGCCCAAGCTATGCCTGCTTCTTTTGGAAGGACACGTGGAACAGTCCCTCTTCCGCAGTTACACTGGCACTATCCCACACCTCTTCCTCCGTTACATCGATGACTGTATCAGCGCCGCCTCATGCTCCCATGAGGAGCTCGAACAGTTCATCTGCTTTACTAACACCTTCCACCCCAACCTTAAGTTCACCTGGACCATCTCTGATACCTCTCTCTCCTTCCTGGACCTCTGTCTCCATCTCTGGTAACCACCTGGAAACTGATATCTATTTCAAGCCCACCGACTCCCACAGCTACCTAGACTACACCTCCTCTCACCCACCTTCCTGCAAGAATGCTATCCCCTATTCCCAATTCCTTTGCCTCTGCCGCACCTGTTCCCAAGATGAGGCATTCCACTCCCGGACATCCCAGATGTTCTCGTTTTTCAAGGACTGCAATTTCCCCTCCACAGTGGTCGAAAACGCCCTCGACCGCATCTCTTGCGTTTCCCGCACCTCAGTCCTCACACCCCCTCCCCGCAATAACAGCAAAGACAGAATTCCCCTTGTTCTCGCGTATCACCCCATCAACCTCCGGATTCAATGCATCATTCTCCGCCACTTCCGCCACCTGCAATATCACCCCACTACCAAGGATATATTTCCCTCCCCACCCTTATCTGCCTTCTGGAGAGACCGCGCTCTCCGCGACTCCCTCGTCTGCTCCATACTCCCCACTAGCCCTACCACCCCCGGCACTTTTCCCTGCAACCGCAGGAAGTGCTACACCTGTCCCTACACCTCCCCCCTCTCATCCATCCCAGGCCCCAAGAAAACTTTCCCCATTAAACAGATGTTCACCTGCACATCTGCTAATGTGGTATATTGTATCTGCTGTTCCCAATGTGGCCTCCTCTATGTCAGGGAAACCAAGCGGAGGCTTGGAGACCGCTTTGTGGAGCACCTATGCTCGGTTTGTGGCAAACAACAACACCTTCCAGTCGCAAACCACTTCAACTCCCCCTCCCACTCCTTGGACGACATGTCCGTCCTGGGCCTCTTCCAGTGCCACACCGGTGCCACCTGTAGACTGGAGGAGCAGCACTTCATATTCTGCCTGGGAACCCTGCCGTCCAATGGTCTCAACGTGGACTTTACAAGCTTCAAAATCTCCCCACTCCCGACCTCATCCCAAGACCAGCCCCTCTCGTTCCTGCCTCCTTGACCTGTCTGTCTTCCCTCCCACCTACCTGCCCCTCCCTCCTCACTGACCAACCCCCATCCCAACTCCCTACCGACATTCGCCTGCACTGGCTTCATCCCTGCCTCCTTGACCTGTCTGTCTTCTCTCCATCTATCTGCTCCTCCTATCCACCTTCTATCATTGCCTCCCCCTCTCTCTATTTATTTCAGAGCCCCCTTCCCCCTCCCCCATTTCTGAAGAAGGGTCCAAACCTGAAACGTCAGCTTTCCTGCTCCTCTGTTGCTGCCTGGCCTGCTGTGTTCATCCAGCTCCACACCTTGTTATCGGCTGTTCCTACTATCTCCAACTTCTCTGTTCTTCTGAAATTCTACTCTATCATCCCTGCAGTTCATAATGCTTCTCGGATTTGTACCATCGTGGCCACCATTACTGAGAGTAGCTTCAGTTCCAGGTTTTATTAATTAATTGAACTTAAATTCCTTCTGTGGTATGATTTGAACCCATTTCTCCAGAGTCTTAACCTGGGACCCTGGATTACTATTCCAGTTACATTGCCCAACACTGTCTCCCCAGCTGTAATGACCTTCTGAACTACGTAACGAGCTGAAACTCCTATGATGCCTGTGCCAGTTCTCTTGAAAGAGCTGCCAATTAATCCCATTTCTGTTCCCTCTCCCCATAGGTCTACAAATTTCTTCCCTTTGGGTATTTATCCCTTTTAAATTTTGTTGAATCTGTTTCCACCAACTTTTTCATGTACTGCATTCACCATGTGTTTTTCTTTGTATCTTCTCTGGTCTTTTGCCAATTGCCATCTGGTTTCCATATTTTCTGCTACTGGAAACTGGTTCTCATTATTTACTCCATGAGATTCATAATTTATTTTTCAACTTCTATCAAATATCCTTTAACCATTCCTGTTTAAAGAACTGGTTGAATTTTCTGAAGAGGTAACAAGAAGGAATGTTGAGGGCTAAAACAGTGTGGAACTGGAGGAACACAGCAGGCCAGGCAACATCAGAGGAGCAGGAAAGTTGAAGTTTCAGGTCGGGATCTCTCCCACTGCAACCCTCTAGTAATCTCTTCAGCCCTGAAACTCTTCAACACATACTCAAGCAAACCAGGTACTACAGCTTATCTTGTGTTAACTTTCCTGCTCCTCTGATGCTGCCTGGCCTGCTGTGTTCCTTCAGCTCCATATTGTGTTATCTCTGACTCCAGCATCTGCAGTTCTTACTATCTTAGAATTTTGAGGGCAGTGACTTGCTGGAGTTTACATGGATCCTTGGTAGGTGGAGTTTGGTACTGCATTCCACATTGTTCCTGGTATACATTTGACTTATGGAGGGGTTATGATTTTTAAAAAGCTTGCAGATAGAAATTTGGCTTTGATACTAAGAGTTGGGAGGAAAAGGCTGAAGACTGCAGGAAAATATTAATGGACTGCTAAGCAGGGTAGAGAAGTGGCAATTGTAATTAAGTAGCAGAAGTGTGTATCATCTACAAGGTGCACTACCAGAAATTCACTAAGGTTTCTTAGACAGCAACTTCCAAATCCATGACCACTACGGACTAGAAGGACAAGGGCGACAAATATATGGGAATGCTGCCACTTCCAGGTTTCCCCTCCAAGCAACTCACCTCCTTACTTGGAAACATATCAGCATTCCTTCAGTGTTGCTAGGTCAAAATCTTGCAATGCCCTCCCCTATGGAATTCTGTTGCAACAGATCCCACTTTCCACAACATTGGGTCATTTGGCCAAAATCTTGGAAATCCCTTCCAAACAGTACTGTGGCTGTACCTGCACCACACGGACTGTGTGGTTTAAAAAGGCATCTTGCCACCACCTCCAGAGAAGTTAGGGGTGGGCAATATATACTGTTCCATTCAAAACACCAGTATCCATAATTTAATTTTTAAA